ATCATGCGGGATTGTAATCAGTGACTATTATCCTATTATGAGCACAACTATTTTTTACAAAGTTATTCTCCTTGCAACGTGTATTTTCTTGTCACTTTAATCTGCTAGAGTGTTACTTTGCCATCACATGACACTTGTTAACGCTGGATTTAATTGAGACACTAGTAATGTATATACACACACATGCAGATACTAGACCATTAGCACAAGTGTAGGGGATAAACATAGATATACGTGAAAATCGACAGCTATAGAGGAGCACAGAATATCAATTTTGTCATCAATAGATATAGGTGCTATGTATGAATACAGATGTTAAACGTACATAGTCCAATTTAGACATAGATACATAGGTTACATATTGACATAACGACCTCAACATTGTCACAAGTAATTATGTATAGAAACAAAGAGCTAGAGACAAATATCTCACGCTAGAAATAGTTTTCAGCGGTAAAGTATCGATATAAGTGGTTACATATAATTTTTAGCCATCATTTATAGCTATAATGATTTTAGTAATTGTTTTAGGGATTAAGATATACAGAAAATCGTTAGGTAGAGTTTTAAGACATCTCATAACCATATTAGAAGTTAGACATAGTTTTAATGGTTAAGACATAGATATTAAAGATTAGATATAATTCTAAGGATTAAGATATAGATACAACGATTTAGACAAAGGTTCTAAGGGTTAAAGCATAAATATAACGCGTCAGCAATTCTTTTAACAATTAGCCAATATATATAAGGAAATATTCATAGTTTTCAGGGTTAAGCCACAGATATCGGACTTAGGCATTCTTTCAAATGTTAAGACGTAGAATAAGGGTTAGACTAGGGATGTCAGAATATCAATACGGTATTGAAATATCTGTATTCATATTGGTATTTATATTGGTATTAACCGTCTACCTAAAGAGAAGTAAAAGTCGAAATTTCGAAGAACCGATTACAGATCCGGATTCCCTGACCAAAACTTCTTGCATGAGACTTTAAACAATCGGTGCTGTCTTAAAATAGTGTTCTCCTGATGAAACAAACAAGCTTGAAAGTTTTCAGAAGCTATCATAATTTCATGTTCCTGCTTTCATCAAAAACAGGCTATTTCGAAAAAGTAACAAGTTTTTATAAAGCTTGATGAAAAGTTTCTCTGAGTCCGAAAAATCCGAATCTGCAACCAGTTTTTCAAAGTTTTCCAGTTTGACTATTTTAGGTAGGAAGTCAACACAAATATCATCAATACCTATATCACTACCAATACCGTCAATATCAATGCCAGTCAATACCAGATGGTATTGGTAGTGTTACATCCTTAGGTTAGACATAGTTTTAAGACATAGAATAAGGATTTAGGTGTAGGCTTATGGGTTAGGATAGAGGTAGAAGAGTTAGAGATAGGGTTAAGAGTTAGGTGCAAGCATAGTTTGTATCTAACCATAGATCTAGATAGATAGATTTGGGTTTCAAGAGCAAGTGGATGAATAGGATGGTATTATATTGAATTTCGTACGAAACCTTGGGTACGAAACCTTTTTAGAAGCCATCGAAACACATTTTTGTACAGAATCTGGACTATGAAGCCTTTTTTGTAGCAGATAAAAAACGGTATTGTACGAAACCAAAAAAAGGTTTAGAATTCGTTTCAAATCTCTGAAACCTTTTTTAGTTTCGTATGATACCTTTCTTTTTTCAGTGTAGGCTCCAGTTCTAAATCAATTTTCGATACACATGCGAATATTTTTCGATGTTCTACTTATCTTCAGTTTTCTCTGAACAGTTAGTTGCTTTTGGTTGTTAGCGTCTGACATAACTTGTTTCTATGTTCAATAGAGCACTATGTTTTGGTGTCAGACAGACGAGATCCAGTCCGGGTAGGATCTGGGTCCGAAAATTTTTCATTAATCAGGTTCAGATCCAAAAATCTTGGATCCGACGGGCTCTATTCGTGATACTGGTGTTATTGGAGCTATATAGCGATTTTTTTCTAAAAAAACGTCAACAAAAACATATATATATATGAACTTTTTATTGTAGTCCTGTCCGGCACTGTCATCTTCAAGATATACAAATATATACCAAGATACTTTTGATTTTGATGAGTCAAATGAAACAATCACTCAAGGTGTTTCACCATCAACTGGAACTAATTGTGAAGAAATTCTACGACCTGCTGGTACAGAAGGTTTTATGGCTGGTAAAACAAGTTATTCATCATCAAACTTGATTGGTGATAGTGCTTTAGTTAGCACTGTTAGTAAAACCCAAGGTGGACGAGCATTATTGATCAACATTGACTTTGAAGTCACTTGTCTCTAGACTGATGGAATGATGGCAAAGATGTCCTTATATTTTGAAATAAAAGTGAATTCTGTATAATGAGTTTAGGAGAAATAATTAATATTTGTAACATGTTCTATATTACATACTACAGATATATTCAAATAGGTCACAGAAAATATTGAAAGATGCTAATGTATATGATAAAGTTTATGCCTTAGTTAATTATAACGACTAAAAATGGTGATTTATGCCAAAGTAATGGCCGTTTCTAGTGCGCACATGGCCAATTGTGACACAAACATGCTCATTTGAGCCATAAGAATGGTCAACTGTGCCAAAGAAATGGTTGATTCTGCTGTGGAAATGGTGAATTAAGCCACAGAAACGGTCATTTGTATAATGAAAATGGCCAATTGTGTCAAATAAATGGTCATCTGTACCACCAAAGTGGTACTCTTGTACTATGAGAATGGTCACTTATACCACGACTATGGTACATTATACCATGCAAATGGTCAGTTGTACCACGACTATGGTACTTTGTACCATGCAAATGGTCATTTGTACCAAGTGTTACAGACAGACAGACACAGGTGGATTTCGGTTTCTAGACCCTATTTTTTCAGTCTCAGGAATATCATTTTGGTGATGCTAGTCTTACTGCTATTGTCACTTAACGTAATGAACAAGAAAAACAAACAGAATTTCAACGGTATATTTAAAACATTATTCAAATAAAATTCTTTCGCTTTCGACTTAAACACATTTCTTTTTTCTTTATGTGTTTTACAACGCAACATATACAATAAATAATAAAAAACAAAAAAACATTAAAATTAAGACAGACTGATCAAACACCACTGATACTACTATCAACTAAATCACGTTATCGCATATACCGTGTTGGTGTTATTTTTCAACGAGCTATTTGCATTCTATCATACTCCAGGTTCGCATAATATAATAGTTAATTATTTTCAGGATATGGGTGTAGCTGTACATGTAGGGTACATGGCTGTGGGTAGATTTCACATCCATATTGACAGCCAAAACCATATCCATACCCACACTCCACACGAGCAACCGTACCCACACCCATACCCACAACTACACCTACTCACACCCATATCCGCCTACACCCTCCCCACATCGATACCCATACCCCCATCTGTACGCACACCCATACCTACATCCGCACTCGTACTCCCACCCATACTCACATCCATGGGTGTGGATGTGAATAGGTGTAGCTGTGGGTATGGGTATGGGTGTGGGTGTGGGTACGGTTGTTCGTGTGGAATGTGGGTATAGATATGGTTTTGGCTGTCAATATGGACGTGGATGCTTCCATTTGTACTCACACACGCAGACCCACACCCTACCGTTCGCAGGGATACTGAATACCACAGTTAACAAAATGAAACTGCAGTTTCCTCGTGTAATACCGCTGTAGGATTTGGAATACCACTATTTACAGCAGGTTTCTTCAAAATATTTTCCGTGGTGAGATCGCTTACAGTTAGACTACTGGTCACCATCCAGCAGAAAACTTTAGACATCGAGAATTATGAAAGAAAATAGCTTGAAAAAATCAGAATTTCGATTTCTTATTGCTTAAACAAGCAAATCTTTTATATGTACAACGAGAAGTACAATGAACAGCGTAATAATTAACAAAATAATGATTAAAAATATAATATATCTACGAATCAATCTTTCTACAGTACGTAAAAACACGTGCAGAATATGTATATATATGTTCTAGTCACTACTTTTACTCTAGTGCAAAAGAAAGTGCTTTAAAAAAATTTAGGGCTCAAGTGAAAATTTATTGCGTCCCCAAATTATTTTTATGGAAGACCATTGTTACGCTTTGTAGTACTGCTGCGTAACCTATACTGGAAATCACGGTTGTCAATAAGCATACTGTAGTATATGAAATCGGTAATTGCCATGATATCCGATGCCACGGTTCTCAGTGAGATAACCACGGCGATACGTAATACCACAGTTGTCAGTAAGCATACTGCTGTGTTCGAAACACGGAGAAAAAAACGCGATATCCGATACAGTGGTTCTTACTTAGTATACCGCCGTATCGCAAGCTGATAACCACCGCGATAACAGGTATCACAGTTATGGGTAAGCAAACTGTGGTATTCGAAACTCGCAGATACCGTGATATCCACAACTAGTGATGGGCCGCCCAGCACTTTTAAAATTTTAAAATTTTCGAAAACGCACGTAAATGAAACAGTAGTTACGAAACCTATCCGAAAATAGATCTCTACCGCGATCTACTATACTCTTCAGTTACTCTTCCGTGAATTCGTATTTTCTTTCGTTACATTTCGTTTCTTACGAACCTCTTACGGCCCATCAGTATCCACAACCGCAGTTTACCACGGTTCTTTTTCAAAAACGTTTTCCGTACGCACATATATGCAGTACTTACACTGAATCATACATGGATTGTAACTATGGGCGTAAATTGGCGTCGATAGCTAGCCTAGGAGTCATTGCACGTAAGCCACGACTACTCTTGCTTAATCGATATCATCGATTTGAGTGATATTTTTACAGTAAGTAGACCTAACAAAGTTAGAAAGAAACCTAAAATTTCTGTTAAAATGGATGAGCCGTTCTGATGTGTGTGTGTATGGTAGGTGTGGGTGTGGGTGTGGATTGGGTGTGGATGTGGATTGGGTGTGGGTGTGGGTGAGTGTGCGAGCAAGAGTGAGTTAACGAAACACCCACAGACACATCTACACCGCACACCGCACACCCACACACTCACACCCTTCCCTAATTTTTTTCAAAACAAGGTAACAATATAAAAATCTACTAAGACAAATTATTTATGAAAAATGTATTTCTCGAAAATATCATTAGCTTTCCAACCAAGACTAGTCTCCCAATTCCGTCGTTGATACTCGACGTTTTCCAATACATTGCAAGGAGATAATACAGGAACCGAGAGTTGGTTTAGATTGTAGTCCCCCATCGTATGAAGTCTCTCACAGACGTTCCCAAAATAGGGGTTATCGACGAAGACCTCAGAAGCCTCTTCACACAATGAAAGAGTTTTCGACTGCTCGCCCATTTTCCAACAGACATGGCAGATGTTTTCGTAGGAAGTGGCTAATTCGCAATGATTCGGAGGCAGTATATTTTGAGAATATGAAGAGACTTTTCGTAAAATGGAAGCGTTTTCGAATACTCACCAACCTCGTTGTTACACGTCACCGATCTTGTTGTAGGAAGCAGCCAAATCGGGGTGGTTCGCAGACAGTGCTTTTTGGTGGATGTGAAGAGCTTTCTCGTAAAATGAAACTGCTTCCGAGTGCTTCTCCGTCCTCGAAAACACTACCGATCTTTTGTATGCCGTGGCCAAATCTGTATGATTCGGAAGTACCGCATTTTGACGAATCTCCAGAGACTTTTGGTAAAATGGAAGTCCTTTCGAGTGTTGACCCATATTGTTGCAGCAGGTGATCCAATCCGAATGATTCGAAGGGAATACGCTTTTTACGATCTCATGAACTTTTTCGTAAAATGGATGTGCAGTTGAGTGCTCGCCCATCTGTGAAAGCACATTAATAATGTTGTTGTAGAAAGCAGCCAACTCGGGATGATTTGGAGTCGGTGCTTTTTGACGAATACCAAGTGATTTTTCGTAACATGCAACAGCTCGCCAGTAGTTACACATCGTCGAATACAGTCCACCGATGTTGATGTAGGATTCAGCTAAATCGGGATGATCCAGCATGATTGTTTCTTTAACTACAATGATTTTTTTCGTAAAAGTCAATGGCATTCTGGTATACTTCCCGTTGTTGTTATAGGATTTTCTCTAGAAAGGATGTGGGTTTGGGTTCCAGCATGCATGTGACCCTATTGTTTCCCAGCACTCACACCCAAGAGTAAACTCTCCAATCTCTATTCTGAATTATCTTGAGACGAAGAAAATAGTAAAAACAGAGATTAACAACTTTTAACTAGCACTGATAGTGTAACCGAAGAGATGACTAAAAAAGCTGTCATTGTTGACAAATGAAAAAAAAATACAAAATAAACACAGACAGTATCCTTCATGAATGTATCGGGTTACATATGTGCATATGACTGCATTCTCTAATACATACGAAAACTTCATCGTTACAATTGCAAAAGTTACAAAAAAGAAACTGACGCGGTATAAAACAAAATAAAGTGAGTGTGCGTGTGGTAGTACGACGTCTGGGTCTGAGTCTGAGTGTGTATATAGGTGTGGGTGTGATCTCAACTTCTCTCAAATCACACTCCCATTGCTACACCTTCATCCTCACCCTCACACCCACACGCACGCCCTAACACCTACGACCACCCAGTCACCCTTATTCCCAACGGTGCATATCTTGATGCATAACAGTATTATATTAAGAAAATTGATTTCACGTCAAAAAAGACCTTGAAAACATACGAAATCTGTTTAAGAGATCATAGAACTGAGTTCATCTAATGATGAGAAATAGTCTAAATGACAATAAAAGATATGAAGACTTCTTAGTTTAGCCTATTTTAAAATGAACGTTAATTGGTCTTTAAAATAATTAATAAGATGAAATATAGGAAAGAAGACATGCATTTAAGATTATTTAAAAAAAAAGAATGGCAATAAGATACTAAGTATGTTTATTATTTTGATGACTGCACAATGAATGTTCTTATCAATGATGTGTTCAAAATTGAATTTACTCTTAGTTTTGATAACAAAGTATTATTGTATCTGGTTAGTTGAGGTAATCTGACATTGTTCGAACAAATAATCCCAAAGAATCAAATTTATGGATGACTTTTAGAAATAATATCTAATATTCTATTAAGCAGCTCAAGTGTTATAGAAATTTCATTTTGCAGGTCATTTTAGTGGACGAATGCAGAATGGATATGAAATATTTTATTAAAGTTGATATAGATACATATAGAAACTTGATATACTAGATTTTTGTGTTCAGTTTATGGAAACTTTATGGTGCTCAAAAATAAGTGAGAAG